ACGCATTGTGCTTTCCAGGTTGAGGGAAATCATTCAGATCTAGACATGACTGGCAGAGGAAAATTTTGAATCATGAAATTTTCACCTAAAGCCCAAATTGTCTTCCATGATCTTCGTGAAGGGAGGAATCCCCAGCGTGAACCTGTCCTGTCTGGGGGTCACTAGGGCCTTCCCCCTATGGGTATGACAGCCGTCAACCTCTGCCCACCACTTCCTGTTCAGCGTGGTCTACGATTAGCCGGCAGTGGGGCTCGTTCACATGCCCAATGTGATCTCATTTCCTGTTCTGTCGTGCTGATCGTTTGGGTTGTCGTGACACTGTGGAACTGAAGCCACAAGCGGTGTTTTTTAGTATCACTGAGATACTATTGTAGTTTCTATTAAAATTATGAACGTTTTTATTTTTATGTTTTTGGTTTCCATTTTCAGTTTAGTTCGAGTATTTTTGTTGTGTGCTTTTGTCATTTTTATTCGTTTTTTTGTAGTTTTATTAATATATTGAATCAGTTTTTATTTGTATATTTTACGTTGTCATTTAAATGTTAGTTTTAGTAATTTTGTAATTATACTTTTTAGTATTTTTTTTTATTTGTCTAGTTCAATGGTATTTATCTCAGTTTTAGTTTTAGTTATTAAGTTAAATTAAATCAAAATGAAAAATGTTGTCTTGGCAGCTAACTCAAGTTAAAGTTTTTAATTTTATATTTGATTTCAATGGAATTTTTTTTAAATGGTTTTAGTTTTAATAAACAATAATAACCCTGGCCACAAGCAGGTAATGCACAGGTGCACTCTTTCTGAAGGCCATATATCTGATGTCATTTAATGCCCTGCAGGTTTAGGGTGCAAATGTTTCATTTCCAGGTCGATCTATTCTTATCTCACTAGAAGAAAAGTACATTAAACTTCCTGTTTTTGTCTATAATCAATATGGTTTGTGTGGGAAGCCACAAAGAAAAAAGCACCTTTTCATATCCACTTGCTGGATGATGCCGCACCTAAGTCACACACACACATGTTTCTGGTGCTGATTCAGAATGAGAAGAGGAACTGACAGCGTTTTGTAGTTTCCTGCCAAGTGTGCAGAAAGTCTGGGTCAGGTTCACACACACACACACACACACACACAGAAACACACACACACACAGCATCCGTACACCCCCGCGCACGCGCCTCTTGATTACATCTTCGTCAACTGACTGTTGTGACGAGTGGCCAGTGGAAAAGAAAAACTAATTAGTCATTGTAAAAATTGAGTGTTCCAATCTCCACAAAGAAGCGATTTTCCAGCGTCCTCAAGGATTCTTATATAAGGTGATTGTGTACCTGTCGACAGTATGACGGACATCAATCCAAGTAGCTTTAGAGAAGTTACAGAAGAAAACTTGCAGCTTAAACATGAAGGCGTCTGTGTGTTTAGTGTTTGCAGTGGTTTGTTGGATCGCAGCGCAGGCAGAGGAGTCGCCAAAGATCCTCACGCTCAGTAAAGTTATGAATGAACTCAACAAGATCAACCACGGAATGGTAAGTTGGCTTCTAAAGATCTACGGATGGCGTTTTTTTTTTTTTACACATTTTACGTAACATTGACCAATTTTTTAATCTGCTTTTTCTTCTGTTTTTAAAAAATAAAGGGCAACAGCAAAAGTTTGAACTCACCCACCATCAACGATCTGAAGGTAAGCAATGATTTTTCTTCTCCATTAAATTCAGTATTCACTGGATGCCATCGGCGGTCTAATATGACCACACAATTAGGCTTGCTTCATAGCGGTTTCTGCATGACTCAGTGATTCGGCCTGCTGTAATATAAACACGTTTCTGTCATTATACAGCCCACCTTTCACAGAACAAGTTTCAGTTCAACACAGTTGATTTTCAAACAAACGTGATTTGCAAAAAAACGTGGGCTGATTCCATACAAATGATCTACATTTCGCTGAATCCATCAATCAGTACAGAAATAACGATTTTTAGTCATGCCTTTCTTGGCAAACACCCTCTCGTTTTAGATTAAAAGTCATTTTGTGCAAGTCAGTCAGGAGAAAGTTTGCTTCATTTAGGAGAAATATGATGAGTAATATGACAACAGCCGAACGGGGAGTGAAAGTAGAGCTGCTAAAACAGATTTGGCCTATTTCACAGTTGCAGTCTTTTTTTCATATTATTATTACAAACATTGCATAGCTGGGTAACACTTTAAGGTGTCCTTGTTACACGTTACATGTGCTTACTATTATAATAACAATAAATTATGCATAATTACATGCAAGTAACCCTAATCCTAACCATATAGTAAGTACATGTAGTTAATTAATATTACTCAGTACTTAAATGTATAATTACAATGTAACAAGGACACCTTAAAATAAAGTGTAAACCAATAATGGCTTAGTGACACAGAAAAAGTTAGTTTCTGTACACTCTCGTCTCACGTACGGAAAACGGTTTGTGTTGTTCTGTGTGGAAAGAAAGAGTTTCCTCATAGTTTCTGTGAAAACTGCTTGAGCACAAGGGAAATTTAGAGTCAAGATGTATAGATTTCTGCATACAATAACAGACAGGAAGAGAAAGAGCTCGTGGCTGGGGAACCGAGAGCCTTTCATGCAGGGTTTGCACGAAAAAACAATCCAATCTGACTACAAAACTCATATAGACATTAATGGCTATCAGGGAACGTTCTCAGAATGTTCTGGCAAGGTTATGACCAAGCGTTCTTCCAGTGACGTCAATAGAATGTTTGTTCAAAGTTAAATTGTTTCAGGATGATTTTAAAAAGCAAAAATGTTTGCAAAATGCTAAAATGGAACATTCGTACAAATGTTTTTAAGAAACTGTAATGTTCAGAGAACATTCAGAAGTAGTTTTCTTAACATTGGCAAAACGTTCTTGTAATATATTTTAGTTTGCTGGGTTTATGTTAACAGTAGGCTTTGTTTCTTTACACAGGATTGCTGTGTTGCATCTGCTCTGGAATGTTTTCGGTCCCAAGTGCTTAACCTGTCAGTCGCTGATGCCAAACTAAAGCGGTCACAGAGGATCATCTCACATGAGCTTCGCAAATCAGTCATTGTGAGTGTGTGTTTATTATGTTTATGGGCAGAGTGAACTGCATGTCAATGCATGCATGATTTTAAATCTAAGAAATGAGAAATGCTCATTTCTTTATTTGTTCTTCATTTTAACAGGTGAAAAGTGTGTCCAGTTGCAAACCTGAAGAGATACAGGTGAGAAACACAAAGGAACAAAAATTGCAAACTTATTTTGCAAATGTATTTTGTATAAATTGTAATAATGTTGTTGCATAGTTCTGACTTGTGCAATGTTCTGTTTCAGACAGCTCAGTGCAAGTCATGTGACTCGTACAACAAGGTTGACAGCCGAATGTTTGTGCAGAATTTTCAAACTCTTCTGCAAAAGGTTAGTTCAAAGCAATCCTGAATGTCCCTCAATAGTGTGTGTGTGTTTGCATATATATATATATATGTATATATATGTGTGTATATATATATATATATTAGTGCTATCAAATGATTAATCACGATTAATCGCATCCAAAATAAAAGTTTTTGTTTACGTAATATGTGTGTGTACTATGTATATTTATTATGTATATATAAATACACATATGCACGTATATATTTAAGAGAAATGTGTTATGTGTATATACTAAATATATTTATATATAATATCAATTATATGAATATAAATATACATGTAAATACATGTAAACATTTTCAAAATATATACTGTATATGTGTGTATTTATATATACATAATAAATATACACAGTACATACACATATATTATGTAAACAAAAACTTTTATTTTGGATGTGATTAATCGCGATTAATCGTTTGAAAGCACTAATATATATATATATAATGTATATGTATGTGTGTATGTATGTATGTAAACTTAAATTTTCTTAATGCAAAATATATTTGATTATTTTTTCTTTTATTTTTATATTAAATTTGTTTATAAAGAATTACACAGAGTTATTAATTAATTAATTTGATTTTGGGGTGAAACTCGAGATAGGTCTAAGTGGTGCTTTTCTTTAACTGTGCATTGTAATGAAAAAGATTCCTCTGAAAGCATAAACAGAGATAAGAAGCCTTGTGTTAACGACCTACTTTTCTTTTTCTAGATCTATGCCAGTCAAGCGTAAAGATGAAAGAGTGAAGAGACTGTGTATAACACTACCTGACCAACCCACAGCAGAGAAGAGGCTCACACGCTCCGCTGCTCCTGCTGTTCTATTTATTGATTATTTATTGAACGTTTTCTTGTTTGTTTTAAGTAGAGGATCTGTTAAAGGAATGTTCACGTTTCTAGGAACGGCAACAGCTTCTTTACGAAATAAGACATCCGTTATTTAATCACATGTATTTGTTTTGTTATACCGCCACCTTGTGGTGAGATGCCAGCACTGCCGCCTTCATAACAGCCCCGTTCCTGGAACGAAGGGTGGTTTCCCTGAAGAAGATGAATCCTTATGCAACATCACAAGGGCTTTCGAGTAGATTTTTCACTTTATTAAGTACGCTAGGAATTTTATTCTTAATCTTTGTCAGGAAAACCACCCATTCAGATGATATGTTACCAATGTATCTTTAAAAAGCAGATACACTTATTATATGTCTCACAATGAGATGCATATTTTTGGATGATATTTATTTGACATTAAAATATTTCTTTATGTTTACATGGCTGTGATGGTTATTTGAGGTGGACGTTGAATGGTGAAAGGTGTTTGTTGTCACCTTTAAAGGGGTCATCGGATGCCCATTGTTGTTAAGATTCTTTAGGGTCTTAATGAAAAGTCTATAACATACTTTGGTTAAAATGTCTCAATGGTAGTGTAAAACAACTCTCTTTTTACCCTGTCAAAAACAGCTCTGTTCACAGAAACCGGTTGCGGTGAATGTCCCTTTAAGTGCTAATGAGCTCTGTTCACCCCACCAGAGATTGTCTTACTATAGGAACATAAGAGGGTCTGTATTACTTACTAATGGAGAAAGCATAACGGCTAACTTGGATCATGTGTGCCTTAACAACCAATCCCATTACAGCCTTGACATAATTGAATTTCAGTCAGAGTTGTACAACACTCAATCACCATTTACAGATACCATAGGAATGAATACCGTAAACTGAATCCCACCTGTCGCAAAAAGTCAGTGACTTGTCTTATAAAACAGCATTTTTTCATGGTAAATTCTAAAAATAGTTTAATCCAAAAGTATTATATAGTGTAAAACATGTTGAAAATTCATTAAATGATAAGCTGTTTCCTTTAAAAGGCTGTTTATTCAGCGTAGTGAAGCCTCTCCTCCATTGACATTCATTCATTCATAAAACAAGCGGCCTCATGGTCTCCTTTCCCACTACTGCCAGACCGGAAGCGTTAGCATTAGCTGTTATGCTTTTTCAGCTAATGGTTGCAGGCTTGCTCTCTTCCATGGGGTGACGCGCCGTTCTCTGAGACTGTAAACTTTAGCCGCATTCATCGCGAAACTTGCTAACTAGCACGTTATTAAGAAAGGCGATTTGCAAAGATTCATAAAAGAACCTTATACTCACTTCTTCTGTAGGTGAAGCTGGATCACAAATGATTCGTGTGAACATAGAGGCATTAAAGTAGATCGGGGGCGCATTCCCTTCAAAAACAAACATAATCCACTGCGTCTTCAGCGGCTCAGATGTCGGGAGTAAATGACGACTGCTATGTTCATTATTACATCCAACAACAAAACACTTCAATCGCTTAGGAGTCATTCTGTTCTATACCTGCTCCGGCGTCGACACAATGGCGGTCGGACTGTCTACAGTTCACTCAGGGCGGGTCTAAGGTAAAACACCAGTGTCAATCAACAATCGTGGGAGGGGCCTGGGTCTGTGTGACATCACACAGCCAAGAATCTGAGAATGGCTTGATTTGAGAAAGGGGTTATCATTTGTCAGGATTTTAAAAAAGCACTGGGTGCATTTTTATCATTATACGGTGGTTGTGTACACACACTGCCAACACACATTTATGTTCAAACACCATGTAAAAGTGAATTTTACATCCAATGACCCCTTTAAAGCTAAACCTGATCAGTTCCAGTAAACAGTTCTTGTTGTTTTTGTGTGGGCATACACCCCACCAGTTAAAGTTTGCAAACAAGCTTTATTAAAACAAAAGTCTTTATGGAAATGTCATAAGAGCTTTGGATCTCACATTTGATTTAATTGCCTCAGTGCAAACTGCATTTGAATGGCAGTAATCTAACTTGTTGCATCCTGCCCTAGTCAAGGAAGTTTTATATAGAAATAGTTATTATTTTTATTATTATTATTATTATTACATTCACATTATTTCTTTCATTTTAGGAAATACAAACTTTTGAATGAAGCTTTGTTCGTGACAGGTGTTTCAAGAAAATACAAGATTTTATATACAGAGAAAACATTCATTCACTCGCTCTTTCTATCTTTCCTTTTTCTTTCTTTAACTGGAAAATATTTTTATTTAGATAATAGCCTATTATCTGGAAAATGAAATAGCATAAACATTTCCGTACTTCTTAGAAAATGATTAGTAATCATATTGTTGTGGTTTAACAATTATTTATATTTTCGACTTGAGCCATTGCCTTAAGTGTATCTAATTAATTTAAAATGCATTATTGCTTAAGGAACATTTCATTAAAAAAAATTAAGAAGAAGAAGTCAAATAGAAGGTCCTATGTCACTTTCATTTCTGCAAGTTTCCAGGGTTAAAAAACATCACAAATTTAAATTCAAACATTTCTGTACTCTTAGAAAAGGTCATTAATAATAATTATAATAATGTTTATTTCATTATTCTTTAATAATCATTTATATTCTAGGCTTGGGTCATTGCCTAATAAGCATATCTAGTTTTAAATACATATTGCATAAGGAACATTTCAACTGTGATTTCTAAAACACATCACAAAAGAAAAATAATAATTTAGAAAAATTGAAATCCCAAATAAATAAATACATACATAATTAGTGATGACCAGTACACTGAAAATCTCTAGGATAATTCAATTTTTATATTTATTTTGTATGCATTTTCAATGTTGCAAAGGATGACAGCAATTGACACAAAAAAATACATACATACATAACCAGCCGAGCACCCAGCCTGCGTCCCAATGTGCATACTATCCATCCTGAATTCTATGTGATTTTAGTAATTGTCAAAACTATTTAGGGCAGATAGGGTGGATAGTATGTATGCACATTGGGATGCAGGGCCAGTCAGGAGAAATGAAACATGTATGTTGTTTAGACGAACAAAAGGCGCCCTCTACTGGAGAAAGCTGAAATTCAGAAGACTCAGAATCTCAGACAACCCAGTAATTAGTTGCCTATGGTCTTACTGACTTTGCATACTAGCATAATGATTTACTTTTTTCCATATAATGATATGCCTGTTACAGTCTGCAAAGTGATCTATTTTTTAGTGAACTTCACATGGACTTTTCACTTTAGTGAAGTCAACTGATATAAATTAAATACCCATATTCTAATTAAATTTCCATGTCAGTCCTTTCTTTAAAGGGATCATCGGATGCAAAATTCATTTTACATGTTGTTTGAACATAAATGTGTGTTGGAAGTGTGTGTACACATCCATCCTATAATGATAAAAATCCACCCAGTGTTTTTTTTTAAATCTCTATTTTAAAATCCCCTTTCTCAATCAGGCTGTTCTGAGATTCCTGTCAGAATGACGTAGTTCTGCACAGGCCCCTCCCACGATAGTTGATTGACACTAGCGTCTTACCTTCCACCCGCCCGAGTGAGCTGTCTGCCATTGTGTCGACTCCGGTGCAGGGGAAGAAAATAATCTGTGCGTCCCAATTCAAAGGCTGCGTCCTTCAAAGGACTCATTTGAAGGCTGCATATGTCATCGGGGAAGACTCATTTAAGAAAATTAACCGTTAAATTGCAAAGTAAAAAATAAATTATAGTATTTTACACCTCACAAGGAATAACAGTCCATTTTATTATGGTTACTTTTCTTTAATAAGACATCCTTAATGACGTATAAAGCCTTTAAATGCGCCCTTCGAAGGATGCAGCCTTTGAATTGGGACGCATCTCACGTCTCCAATTAAGCGATTGAGGTGTTGGATGTAATAATGAACATAACAGTTGTCATTTACTCCCGACATCTGAGCCGCTGAAGACGCAGAGGATTAACGTTACTTTCGTTTTTTGAAGGGAATGCGCTGATCCCCGATCTGCCTAAATGCGTTTAAGTTCGCGCGAATCATTCGTGATCCAGTTTCATCTACAGTAGAAGTGAGTATAAGGGTTTTTTATAAATCTTTGCAAATCGCCTTTCCTAATAATGTGCTAGTTAGCAAGTTTCGCGGCTTAAGTTTACAGTCTGCTCGTCACCCCATGGAAGAGAGGGGCGGGGTCAGCAGAGCTCATTAGCATTTAAAGCATCATGGACTAGAACGGTATGCTGAAAACAGAGCTGTTTTTGAGAGGGTAAAAAGGGTGTTTTTTACACTACCATTGAGAAATTTTAACCAAAGTATGTTAAAGACTTTTCATTAAGACCCTAAAGATCATATCAACTTGTGGAAAATGAGCATCCGATGACTCCTTTAAAAAACATGTAATGAGGTTATAGCATGTTGAACTGTTCACAGTGCTTGAAGTGGGCCGGTACGCACAGGTACGCAGTACTGGCACTTCTATATTTTAGCCTTTAGAGTACCGGCACTGTTTTGTGCGTACCGGCACTTTTTTTTTCCACTTCAAGCACTGCTTGTTCATTACTAGTTTATTTATCTAAAGTGTAGTATACATTTTTTTTTTTTACAAACTACATCCCTACATCGAACTTTAAAGGGTACCTATTATGAAGGGCACCTATTATGCAAAATCCACTTTTACATGGTGTTTGGACATAAATGTGTGTTGGCCAAGTGGCAACCTTCCGGTCTCTCTCGTGAAACCAACACGGAAGTGACTAAAACTGCAATTCATCGACTGGCCGCTAGAGGCTGGCTCCAAAAGGGCGTTAGTCCCATAGACTCCCATGTTAAAATGCCCAAATTTACAGCAGAAAAAAATATGTTTACAGCCTGGTACAAAAAGTGGTTTTGGTCTATATAGTTAATTTTGCCCTTCATGACAACTGTGAGGGGGTTGAATTTTTTTATAACTCATCCGTTT